GGCGAGTGGAGGTCTAGTCACGAACATTATCAATAATCAAATCTGCAATCATATTGCAAGACAATCTCTTGTTCTTTGTGGTACGTAATGCTACTCCACAGGTGTGTTCATTATTCATTTTTCGTATGTAAAAGAAACCATTAAGATTTTGAATTAAACTTTTGGCCTACATGTCTTATTTCATTTGACCACCTAGCTGTCAACAATACTTTTTTCGTATGTGAGCAAAAGCGAGAGAGCAAATCATCATCAAACTCAACACCATCATCGCAAATAGGACCATCTTCAAGCAAATTATCATCAACCACCACACGTGACTCTTTATCTTGCCCAGTTACCATGACCTCAACATGATTGACATTTATCAAACGCATTATATAAAACATATTACGCAAGTCCTCATCTTTTTTCAAACAACATTTGGGTGACCTAGAATAGAATATGACATGACAATAGACAAATTCCCAATTCCTCCCATTTTTCGCAAAGCCTACCATAAATGAAATTGAATGTTGCACGAACAAAACATCTGAGAATAAGGTGTCAACATCATATTTGCATACAAGCAACACTATTCCCTCCATTCCCGATCAAGACATTAAAAGAAATGACATTGTATCATAAACCAACAAAAAAGAATAACAGTTATACAAAATAGTTACTTAAAAATTTTAATTCAAATGACTAAATTAATTAGTGACATACTGGGAGAAAAACATAAAACAAAAAATAGTTACAATATACAGGATCTGCCAAAATAGATATTGGCTGAAAAGTTGAATACAAGAGCGATTACACTAAATCATAATTCTGATTCAAAAACAGTTACACCCATTAAAATCCAAAAATAGTTTTTTTCCCATTCAACCGAACAATAAACAATATAAAACAATCTTTGCTTCATAAACTGAGGATAAAATAAATTAATTAAAAAACAGTGACATAGTAACCTTTTTTCGAAAACATTCATTAATGTCTATACCGAAAAACAAAGGTACACCTATTAAAAAATAGTTACATCCATTAAATACAAGCCTTCTATATCAACACAAGAGTGTTCAATTCTGAGTAATGCAAATAAGCCAGTAATATATAACCAGTTGCGAAGCAACCAATTGTTAAACAAAGGGTATTTAAAATGGAAACCACGAATCTTGAAATGTAGAGATATTGATTTTTCTTTGGATAATGCTCTTTGATTAATGACAGTGACAACAGAAATAAACCCTTGACCCAACACTGCACTTCAGATTTCTTACATGGCTCAAAATGCATTGATGGCTCTAAAGGAAGGGAAACCACCACCAAAGAATACAAACATCGAGCAAACATAAAACAAAATCGAACATAGAAATTTTTCAAATCAGTGACCGAATAAAAGAAGAAATATATTTATTATGTCTATATGAAAAAAATAGTTACACCCATTAAAACCAAATCTATTGTTTTTCCCTTCATTCCAACAACGAACAAATATAATACAAAATCGAACATAGGAATTTCCCAAAAAAAATGACAAAATAAAAGAAGAAATATAATTATTAATAACTTACCTTTAAGTCGATAATGGTGATTGGTATTTACAGTTCCTTTTTTCGAATAAATCCACCACCGGAGAAGTAAATCGATTGTTGATTAAGACTCTTACTGCCAAGATCAGTTGAACACATACATTTGAAGACTCTAAATGCAGCGATCAATTTTTTTTTTTTTATAACAATCTACATAAACAGTTGAAGAATTTTTGTGTGTAACTTCATAGACTTTTTGATCTACTGGATAGATCACTTTAACACAGACATTTACTGCATATATTCTACAAAAACTGCTCATTCAAAATTCAAAAATTAAAGATACCAAATATGTAATCTTTACATATTTGTTTCTTAAAATAACTATCAATAATGACTGCATAAATTAAGGAATGGTGTTTTAGTAAAAAAAATTTTAATTCATTTGAATTTTGTACCTAAACACAAAAATTTTTATAAAAATTTTACTTAATACAAAAAATAACTTATCCATACACTTTTGCCTAAATAAGTCTAAAAAAATTGTACGCACACCTAAAAAACCCCCTCTTTTAAACTCAGGCCGTCTTCTTAGCTTGGGTTTGGTAGTTGGTAGTTGAAGGTGTTGTCTGGCCCGCTATTGACCCATATCATCCCTTCCCTAGACGAACTTAAAAGAGCCGCGAAACAAATCCCCCATAGACCATACTATACCATACCATACCATACAAGAGAGAGAGAGAGAGGGGTTCGGCTCCTTTGCAGTTGGGGAGTTACCGCATGTCATGCGGTTTATTAAAACGGCACCGTTTTACTGTTCTTTTTGCTTTTTTTTTTTTAATTTTATTTCCCCTTACCAAATCTGAAACGCCTTCTTCTTCGTTAGACTTCAACAACAAATCCTTGCATGGTGCAGTAGATCTGGGCAACTACAGGCAGCTCCGACTACAAGCAACGTATGTTCCTTCGTTCTCTCTGTGTTAAGAATTTTCATTTAGATAGGTCAAATCAAATTCAATTGTTCCTTCATTCTTTCTATCTTTTTTTTTTTTTTTGGACAAAACCTTTCATTGGCATTGAAATTTGATGTTGAAATTGGCTCCCTCTTTCTCTTTCAAGCAAATCTCTCACACATACCTCCCCACCCTCCACCTGTTTGAGAAAATGCTAGAAAGAAAGAATTTACCACAAAGCACCACTGAACCTTGTGAATTCAACCAATCAAAGCAGTTACATTGTTATAGAATCTTAGAAAGGATTTTCAAGTCAGCAGTTTAACTTTATGATATCCCCTATTTGTAGCACAAGGCATAAACATAGGAAGTTAAAATTAAGAAAATAACTTTATACATGAGGCCCCTTGGATGCAAACGCATATATGATTGTTTTGATGGTTCTCTTAATCTCCACTTTCTCATGAATGCAAATGAGTAAAACAACATATTTGATCTCCATACCAGCTTAATGAGATGGAGCTAATTAATGGCAATTTTGTACTGATCATGCATAATCTAATTTCTTGACAAGCCTGTTTGTTGAATCAATGAACAAGTTCATCTNCTAATTAATGGCAATTTGTACTGATCATGCATAATCTAATTTCTTGACAAACCTATTTGTTGAATCAATGAACAAGTTCATCTGGCCATTTTCTTCAACAGTGTGTGTGTGTCTTGGATATTCAAAAGGTCAGTCATATGAACTCCATGTATTTCATTAGGGGATAAATAGTCTCAAAAATGTTGCATGCCTTGTATTGCTTTTATTCCAAGCAGAAAATAGCTTTTGCTACGCATTGAAACTTACTTCTCATTTTTCTTCAAAGGTATCTATGTTGTTACATCCCCATATGGCATATATCTTGTGGCAGTTTACCAACATTCTTTAGGTTTTTGGGCTTGTGATTTGATGATGGTGATTATTGAATACAGGTATTGGAGTTGGCTGGGATGCAGCAAGGGATAACAAGTAGAATCCCATAGTGCCAAGGCACATTCAGCTTGCGATGAGGAATGATGAAGAGCTTAGCAGGCTTTTGTACAGATTCCATTTTCCAAATTAGTTGCCTTAGGAAATTTGTAATTTGTCTAGGTGAGAAAATGCTATTGTTTAGTGCTAGAGTTTGATTATTATTGTAACTAACATTGAAATTTTTTTTTGGAATTTTGATATGTATGGTTAATTTGGAACTTCAGAAATTGCAGCAGCCCTTTAATTTATTCAGAAGTTTTCCAGAGTTGCTGGTAAGTTTGAATAATGATGGCAGACTGAGTTTCTTCTAAGGAACTGGTTTGCTGTTATGTATCACCAGAAGTTCTTGTTGCCATTCACTCATAATCCTCCATTCATAATGATGCTTTTGTATACATAACCTTACAGAAATACAATAGGCAATTCAACTACAAGACACTCAAAAAGCAGAGTGTACCCACTGCTCTGTATCCATTCATATCAATTGCAATGATTAATTCTCAATATAATGAGAGGCACAAGACAATAAAATTAATAATTAACTCATTAAAAACTACTGTATATTGCCTCTCTAAACACAAATTCAAAACAAACTGCTTTCTAAAACATAAATAAATAAATAATGCAGGTTAAAAAAAGAACTTTGCTAAAAGTGAATAGCCGTCATCACTACACCTCAAAGTGCCCTAAACCAATTACTAATTCCTCAGCTCTTTGAATTTGCCCCTTCATTTTCCACCTTTTGAGCAAAAAACTTCGTTGCAATCATATTATCATCAAAATACCACACATAGGGGTGCCCCTTTGGAACTAGCCTCACATACTTGTTGAAATTCTTCTTAGCCTCATCTTTCTTCTTCAACAAAGTATATATTATCCCTTACACATACGGTCGAAAATCCCTCGACTCCTCCTGCGCAAGCTCTTGATAAATCCTCAAAGCATTCTTATAGTCCCCTTCAATGACCCGAATTTGCGCAAGTAAAAGCTTTAAATCCTTCAAATTATCTTTTTTGTTGGGGGTGTCAATTTTTGACTTGAACACGAACCCGTCTAAAATCGAACTCGATATGAACAAAAAAATAACACGATTAGTTGATACGAGTAATAAATAGGTTAAATTAAAGTTGACATGAATAATACGATCAATGAGTACAGTACATAAAGAAAAAATATTTAATGAATATTATAGATAGAAAATAAAAATTTTATAATTTTTTAAATAGTATTATATTAGTTGTTGTCAAATTAAATAATTTTTTATTAACACAAATATTGATACGAACCCGACACGTACCAAAAATAATATGACATAAAAATAACACAATAAAAAATGACACGACAAAAAATTGGTATGACACGTGATAAGCCTTGACACGAAAAGGGTCTTTATCAATTATTTCATTAAACCTACTTTCGGCCAACTCAGTCTCTCCACCGTAGCAATACATGTGGGCTCTCAACAATGGCTATTCAATGTCACTGGGCCCAAGTTCAATCAACCTTTCGATAATGCTTATGGCTTCGTGGACTCTCTGATTTTTTATTTGAATCTCCATCAGCTTCGAAGAGCTTCACCATCATTTGGGGGTTTTAGGGTTTGGAAGACGAGGGTTAGATGATATTGACGATGAGGGTTTGATTGAGACAAGCAAACCTGGACAATTCTTTGAGGAAGAAGAAGGCGGGAGAAACAGAAAGCGGGAGAAAGCAGGAGACTGCAGATCTGGAAATTGAAGGACCAAAACGACGTCGTTTTGGTAAGAAATGGCAATAACTAGTGAAACGCCGCCGTAGACACGCGGTTTCCTCTTACCGCAGAGAAGCCGCTCCCGAGAGAGAGATGATTCTGAGAAATGTGAATCAGTGGACAACCACACTTAAAGAAGCACTAGACCGGACCTTGCTAATAGCGAAGTTCCTCTGTGCCCTTCATGTCACCAACACCTACCTCTTCACCCCTGCTCTGGTAAGTCGTAAACTCTACTAGAACCCCCCAAACCCAAAACAAATATTAGAAAGGAAATTGAAGGTTTGATTTGCTGTTCCAGGTGTATGGTCCTAGTATGCTTCCAACCTTCCATCTGACCGGTGATTTGGTCTTGGCCGAGCGAATTTCGACCCGTTTGGGCAAAGTGGGTCCTGGTGATGTAGTTCTTTTGAGGTCACCCGAAAACCCCAGGAAGATTGTGACCAAAAGAGTGATGGGTTTGGAAGGTGACAGTGTTACATATGTTGTGGACCCAAAGAAGAGTTATAAACAAGAGACTCTCGTTGTATGAACAATCTGAACTTTGTTCTTGGCTNCTCTTTAGCTTATCTTTTATTTTGGTTGATGGTTTTTATGTTTTCGCTTGTTTAAACTTTACATTTTTAGTTTTTGTCGATTGTGTTTAATGGGTTTTTATGCTCCCAGGATTGTGCTTTTGTTGTTTTCTCTCTCTAAATGCACGCTTTCTTCCTATGTTTGTAGGTTCCAAAAGGGCACGTTTGGATTCAGGGAGATAACATATATGCTTCTAATGATTCAAGGAATTTTGGGCCTGTTCCTTATGGACTTCTTGTAGGCAGAGTATTTTGGAGAGTATGGCTTACTTTTTTAAGCTAATTTCCTTTCAATATTTTAAGCTTTTTAGCTTATTTAGTTGTAAACAAATTATTCTCAATCTTATTGTTCTTAACATAAAAATTGCCAATTCATGGTTAATGGCATGTTCATAAATCACCATGCTTAATATTTGGGGGTTAATGTGATGATAAAACTAGTTGCGTTAATGTGATAGTAAAACTTGCTGCCAAATTTAATTTTAGTTCTTGGGTTTTACGAACACTATTGGCTTCTTACCAAATTTTTGGTGACAAGCTTGTAGCTTAATCTTTATTATTAATGACTTAACAGAAGAATCATCTGCCACATGAAATTAGATGCGGGGAGCTAAGAGTCACATACACTTCTCTGAAGGAGTTGTGTCAGTGTTGACTTCTTGACACCCTTGCAACACTGACCGAAATGTGTCTGACATGGTTTAATTGAGTCTATTAGATGGAGTAAGAATTCTGCAATTTGAGACTTGGTTAACACTGAAGTTGCACTTTTCAACACACCATCCATTTTGCATGTTAAATACTTAATAAGAGCTATGTGTAACAGTTGGAGAATTGGAAAAAGGTCCGAGTGTGTGTATAATTGTCAAGGTAGACATAGTAAACCTGATTCAAGCATGCACTTTATATGATAAACTTCTAACGTAGGAATAACATGGTCTTTGTAAAGAAGATAAGATATTATTGTATTAGTAGGAGAGAGAATTTTGTATGTTCTAGGGAATATGTTTAAGTTGATGCACTTCACAAACTTAGTCTTGTCCTTAATGTAGTTAAGATAATACAATCGAAATTACATATTGGTCACATAATATATGTATCAAATACGGATCTACATGTTTATGAATTGTTGTCTCCTTTTCGTGTTTGTGCCCATTTTTTGAAGATTTTTTACATCAATGTAGTTGTGTCATGCTGTCTCTGTGATCGTGTCTATGCTACCTAGATGGTAGAACACATTTAATGGTGAACACCACAATCAAGCCCCAGGTTTTCATTTTAGTCTGTAGATTGGTGTTGGAATGAAGTTCTAATTTTTCATAATGAAATGGTAAAGTTTATCAATGGTAAGTTTGTTAATTCTAGAAGTTGCAATAAACATTTAACCAAATTCAGATGGACCAACAATGGGGAATAGTGAAAGAAAAACTTGGTAGCCCAACCACAAATAATTGAAGTTGTTCTGTGTCTTTTTTTTTTGATCCAAGTCCAGATAAATGTCATTGTGTCAAAAAGTTTAAATTGAGCATAGCTTCATCCAAGTAATAGCCTCTAGGACTTTGCTTGTGGATATTCAGGGGACATTATGAATTCGATTTGGCTTGTGTTCATGGAATTAAATGACTCTCCTGAGGTATATAGAATTATAAAACATCTTTTTCACCTCTCAATTGTTTTTATAATTAATTTCTGTTGTCTGATTTTTTTATATTGAATAGAATTTCCAAACTGATTTTGCTTATAGATTTGGCCTATTGAAGACTTTGGATCTGTGGTTAGAAGACCTGAGTAATATACCTGTATCTTGTGAGGTACACTTTGATCACTTGATACTGCTTTACTTTCCAAAACGTGCAAACTGCATCTTGAAGCCGCTGTTGATATTGCTCATGAGGATGCAAGAATGGATTTTGATCATTTGTTTCTGTTGGGACAATCAAGCACCGGGAAATGAGTTTTGGTGTCAACAATTTGTAAAAAATAAACAACTTTGTTTTTACAAAATATTTTTTGGAAGCTTCAAATTTACTCATAGTAAATGCAAGAAAATGCTTTCAAGTTCCAAATAATATCATATTGGATATTCGGAAATCATTAAGTTGTGTCCCTTTTACTTGCACTGCATAATCTTGTGACGTTAGATTATTCAGAATCCACTTTCCGAGAGATGCATGATTGCTTGCAATCCCATGCTCTGGACTCCAGCTATTATAATGCTTACGCAAAGCTCCTTATAGTATTCTTGCTTCTGTTATTTGACCCCACTAGATGAAGGTTATTCACCGCTTAATTACTGGCTGACGAATGTTTATGAAATGTTGATGAACTTGCGAGAGTGGTTATTTAGGTGTTTCTGGTCAGCTCACTATTACTTCTTTGGAAGCTCCACCAATGGTCGATGAATGTCTCACCTCCACTTCTATCTTTTAACTATTTTAGTGACACATTACTACCACCACCACCGCTTTGTCTGCGACTTTGATTACATTTCATCACCAGATTCAGCCACTGTAATCAATCATCGTCATAATTTTGAGATGCTTCCGCATCTTTCAGCATTTACTTAAAAGATTGGTATTCTGATTTCTCCATCATCATCATCATTGTTTTTTTAATTGATTGCATTATACTCAATGTCCCTGGCCCATTTGTTACCAAAGCCACTAAAACCACTTTCACTGTTAAGCCCAAGGAGAATCGAATATGAGTCACCAGAATATTGTGTCATTGCCTTGGCATACTCACTTATTCATGGTAGTTTAGTGACTGGCCTTGGCATACTCACAAATTGTGGTTCAATTTGCCTAAGAAATGTCTGCATTCTTACTAATTGCTTGATGAAAACATATAGTTTCCTTTCTATTTCGCTACCTTATATCCTAGGAGATCTATTTAGTTGTTTTTACCTTTCCAGTGTACCAAAAAAAATGAAAAGAAAAGAAAACATGTAGTTACCAATGTTGCCTATTATGCTTTGATATATTTACTCTTCCTTCAGGATGATGGTTTATCCCTACACTTTATTGTCCTCTTATCCACCCAGATATTGCTTTCCATTGGAATGGAATTAAAGGGGCTGGTGCAAACAAATGGCTTAAGGAGAAGCATATTGGAACTGGCAGATTAACAAAGTATGCTGATCTTGAAAATCCAGTTGGCTTGCAGGGGGAATCGCTCGAGTTTAGGACTTATTTTTGGTGAAGAAATTATCTGTTTGCAAATTTTGCAGTAGTTCATCCTTGTTTGTATAATTCTTTGAGTATTTAAGTCTCTATCATTTTGAATTACCAATTACTTCATTACTTTTGCCTCAATATGTGAACAATTTAGTTATTGTTTCCTTTGATTTGAGGCTTATCAGTGTTTGCTTTACGTGACACTATATTTTTTTGCTCAAACAGGTGGATGTTTTTTCTTTCTTTTTTTTGGTCATTTGATGATATCTCTACCTGTTTCTAGTGATTGTGGTGATATACTGCAGTGCTTTGATTCTCATAGAAGTTTTTTTTTTTTTTGGTCAAACACTATTAGAGGGGAGAGGATGATGAGGTTTGAACCAGTAACCTTAAACTCTAAATATCCATGGGCATGTCTAAATGTTGCCGGTAAACGAAACAATGCAGTGGCCAGTTGACATTAAAAACATGCTACATTGTTCATGTCAATGTTGAGGATGACTATAACATTCACAGCTTCAATTTGCTGAACAAATACTAGGCTTTTCAAGTTTGGTTTGCCCTTCAAATTTGTTTCATTAATTTCTTTTGCTAATTTGGGCCTCAACTTGGCTGTCTAGTAACAAATTGAGTTCAAGCTTAAACTCGAGTACAGACTTGTATGTACATTTCTACACACATACCATTCATACACTATACTTTCTGAAAAAGAATATAATTATGGCCCAAAGGACTGTTTTACAAAGACTTGTGAGAGCACAGGTTCAGGATTCGCCAAAAATTTTCAATGGTATTNCGCTAATTTGGGCCTCAACTTGGCTGTCTAGTAACAAATTGAGTTCAAGCTTAAACTCGAGTACACACTTGTATGTACATTTCTACACACATACCATTCATACACTATACTTTCTGAAAAAGAATATAATTATGGCCCAAAGGACTGTTTTACAAAGACTTGTGAGAGCACAGGTTCAGGATTCGCCAAAAATTTTCAATGGTATTGCAGGTAAAGCACAAATTTAACCAGACTTTTGAGGGTCTTGAACTAACCCATGGGATAACCCAATGGGAATAAAGACAAACTGTAAATTTAGTTCAATGATCTGTTTTTGACTAAACTGAAGAAAGAATTAATTGAGATGCACATAAAATATTCTTAACCACAATACCTTAAAAGACACACATGAGCAATATGGTAATACGGACTAGAATGAGGTCACCAAGAAGAGCAACCGCCANCCAGGATTCGCCAAAAATTTTCAATGGTATTGCTGGTAAAGCACAAATTTAACCAGACTTTTGAGGCTCTTGAACTAACCCATGGGATAACCCAATGGGAACAAAGACAAACTGTAAATTTAGTTCAATGATCTGTTTTTGACTAGACTGAAAAGAGAATTAATCGAGATGCACATAAAATATTCCTAACCACAATACCTTAAAAGACATACATGAGCAATATGGTAATACGGACTAGAATGAGGTCACCAAGAAGAGCAACCGCCATTTCAGCATCCAACGAGGCAGTCATTTGAAACAAATGCACAATCAATCAACCAAGGGAGGCTGGCTATGACTATGCAAATCAAGGTGCTGAAAGGACAGGATGGGTTTGCTTCAGTAACCAGACATACGACAAGGTATAAATTCACATGTTCTCGGTTCGAATTTAATTGACAGTATAAAATTTGGGTTTAATTGAAAATGGTTTGCAATGCAAGTATGGATCCATTTTTTCTCATGAATTCCCCTAACATTATATTACCCACTACGAGTTCAAACGAGACTTATTATATTGACATAGGTCATCCACAAATACCCGGTAAGTGATCTANAACGACAAAGTATAAATCCACATGTTCTCGGTTCGAATTTAATTGACAGTATAAAATTTGGGTTTAATTGAAAATGGTTTGCAGTGCAAGTATGGATCCATTTTTTCTCATGAATTCCCCTAACATTATATTACCCACTACGAGTTCAAACGAGACTTATTATATTGACATAGGTCATCCACAAATACCCGGTAAGTGATCTAGCATTGCAGGGATCAAAAAATCTAGTACTAAAAAAGGTCCCAACACCTGTTGACACATGCTGAACATTTGCAAGATACACTAGCATTACTCTTTGGTAAGTGCACCAGTGAGGCAAGAGAAAGAAATATCAGTGTGTTTGAGTACAAGAACCAATCCAACCAAAACAAAACCGAAGGTAGCAGAATGCACATGGTACATTTCCCAGAAAAAGGGAGATCATAGGAGGAAGTATCTGATGCCCATATATAAACAAATAAGAGAAGCATCTCCAAAGTTTCGTTTTGTGTTTTGTGGCTATATACAAGAGGCCTAAAATGTCAAAAAACATGGCAACGGCAGTCTTACGGCTGTATTCCGGATGCCTTTCAAGTATATGCCTCATTATGGATATCGTTGATCAGCTTCTTTTGATCTCATATCACCATCATAGCCCAAACTGCACCCCCTTGGTCCACGATTTTTATGTTTCTCTTAACAACTAGCAATCATATGGGGCTGGCTCTTGATACCTGTCATGGGTAAAAAGCTCAAGTCATATAAATACACGTGTTTCTCAAAAATCCCGATTATCACAACTCATAACCAATAATGTACAAGTTTCTAAAAATACCAAGACAACAAAAGGCAATGAAGGCTGAAAAGTACTCCCAGAAATGGACATGCTTGATGGAAGGGATAAGGAATATTCAATGGCACCTAGAACCATATTAAACTACATAAACAGGAAAGAAAGTAGTAAATATGAAATAATACTAAATTTCAAACAAGTGCAAAAGTCTTCAGCATTTTCATCGCTTTAAGTAGTGGCAAGGAGGGGGTAAAATACAATAGAGGAAAACAACTTAAGATCAAATGAGGAACCATATAAAAACAGTGGAAAGAAAACATGAAAAGATAATATACCAAGTTAACAGAAAGGTCCAATAGCTATTCTGATCAGAAACTCGGTTACCAGGTAAATGATGGCGATTGAACTGCTATGAACTTCTCTCCAAATTGCCAAGGAAAACGTTCTTCAAATTCAGGGCAGGGGAATTCTGTCACACATTTTCTATCCACTCTTAACATCATAACGCAGAATGATCTCTAACACAAATGAAAAACCAGGAATCAACATTCAATGGATCCCTATTGATGCCTCACCAAGATCTAAAAGAACGTATTAATGTGCCATCAGTCATAATCCTCCAAGTTATAAAGAGAAAATCCTCTTAGATATTTCCAAAATCCAAACTTTACACGTGACAGCTTTCCTTGTCACATACTAGATTAACCACCAGATTTCTCTAAAAACCATTCTATCCCATAAAGAATTTAAATATCGAAACAAGCTTGTTCATTCAAATCAAAATGCTACCAAGAATAATATAACGAACACCATTGAACATACAAGAATGACATTTTCTATGTAAGTACCATATTGTTCCCGAGTGAAAAAAATCAAGGTTATTAACGTTTAGTTTTACCAAGTTATATTATTTAAACAATTTTGCACCCCTTGAATTCTAATAGATTTATAAAATGGGATGAGATTCAAAATCAAAGACTTATCACACTGCCCACTTGAATCTGCTATGCCAAAGAACAGGGTGCAGCATAATTAACAAAGAACAGACGTTACTCATGAAATTTAATGCACTCACAATATATCAAGTCCATTTGTCCAGTTCAATATATACTGAAATATGAATTTGTTGGAGTTGGTTTATTTAAGTGGAGAAGGTCGTCTTCTGTAGTAAATTTGGGTTTCAAGAAAGTCTTTATTTTCTGAACATTTCTATTTTCAAGAAAACATCTAACTGTCACCACTACCCCAGAAAGTTCCTTGCAGCTTATGGATCAGCTCCATTAGCTGGGTATTGAGCCACCCCATGTTTTCCGATTGATGAAACATATCCCCTCCTACATTTGTCACCTCACATCAAATCTTGTTCTAGTTCTCTCCAAAGATGTACTAAATCTTTCATCTGCAACCATTATTCTGTCCCCATATTTTGCAAAGCATAACATGTGATATCACAATTTGACATTATGATGACCAGTCTAATTGTGGTTGCACATATAGTACACCACAATAGTCCAGACAAAGGTAATCGGATAACGACCATCTCCAACAAAATTATCACCAAACAACTTAAAACTGGATCTCAACCTGATTCTGTAAGCTTGTAGCAGCAGTCCAGCGCTGAGGATGTAGTGTCATTGAACTATCACTGATGAAAGCTATTGTTCTCGATTCTTCTTGTGAGTTAACCACGATGGAAGCTGGTAATTCTCTCATCACCCATAATACGAATGCCGAAGGTACTGATGAACCTGTCCCAATGATTGAACACCATATTAATTAGACAGCAGTAGAGATTAATTACTGTCATTGTAAATGCAAAGCAAAAAGCAACAGGACGAGTGCTATGCATTTGGGAAATCCATTTTCTTTATTGATTATTTCATCTTATTCCTTTTACCTTTCTTTCTGGAAAATATTATCCTATTAGTTCATTTCCTTTCTGTAATAAGAATCTACTTGTTTTAAAGTTGAAAACAATCAATAAAATATCACTTTGATGACTCGTAGTATGAACAAGACCACCGCTTCTAACAGGCTAGACCAGGTGATTGTACTGCTGGAAACATCAACTCATCCTGCTTCTGTGTTTCAAAGTCTTGGGTTCCTAGATTAAACTTTGTAGCCTGTGCATCCCAATTTTTTGGGAAGCCTAAAAACAGGAAGTTTGTATCAATATTGCTGAACAGCTCTCACATATAGCGGATAATCTAGTAATATCACATATCGGTATATCCACTTTGTCGAATTTGCATATCTTTATCCTAATATGTCATTCAAAAATCAGTTCAAGGGCAGTTCCCCTCCAGTCCTGCTTGAAAGTATTGGCCCAGAACTTTTAAAGCATTTCATTGCCAGGAACAAAATGATCCTTAACAGGCAAACAACCTGAAGGAATTCTAAGGAGTTACAAGAAAAANTCCATCCGATGGTCTCAAATAGATTCATCCAATGGCCACCAACATCCCTTTCAAAACCATTCACATTGCACCGTGCCTTCAGTCACGGGTTACCCATAGTCAATATAAAACTTCCAAGGCACTGAAATGACAAAGACATCCAACCCAAAACCAATTGGATGGAGAGACCCCTCGAATATATAAATCAACCTTGGGTGATCCTAATCNAATACACGTGTTTCTCAAAAATCCCGATTATCACAACTCATAACCAATAATGTACAAGTTTCTAAAAATACCAAGACAACAAAAGGCAATGAAGGCTGAAAAGTACTCCCAGAAATGGACATGCTTGATGGAAGGGANGATACATGTGTTTCTCAAAAATCCCGATTATCACAACTCATAACCAATTATGTACAAGTTTCTAAAAATACCAAGACAATAAAAGGCAATGAAGGCTGAAAAGTACTCCCAGAAATGGACATGCTTGATGGAAGGGATAAGGAATATTCAATGGCACCTAGAACCATATTAAACTACATAAACAGGAAAGAAAGTAGTAAATATGAAATAATACTAAATTTCAAACAAGTGCAAAAGTCTTCAGCATTTTCATCGCTTTAAGTAGTGGCAAGGAGGGGGTAAAATACAATAGAGGAAAACAACTTAAGATCAAATGAGGAACCATATAAAAACAGTGGAAAGAAAACATGAAAAGATAATATACCAAGTTAACAGAAAGGTCCAATAGCTATTCTGATCAGAAACTCGGTTACCAGGTAAATGATGGCGATTGAACTGCTATGAACTTCTCTCCAAATTGCCAAGGAAAACGTTCTTCAAATTCAGGGCAGGGGAATTCTGTCACACATTTTCTATCCACTCTTAACATCATAACGCAGAATGATCTCTAACACAAATGAAAAACCAGGAATCAACATTCAATGGATCCCTATTGATGCCTCACCAAGATCTAAAAGAACGTATTAATGTGCCATCAGTCATAATCCTCCAAGTTATAAAGAGAAAATCCTCTTAGATATTTCCAAAATCCAAACTTTACACGTGACAGCTTTCCTTGTCACATACTAGATTAACCACCAGATTTCTCTAAAAACCATTCTATCCCACTAAAGAATTTAAATATCGAAACAAGCTTGTTCATTCAAATCAAAATGCTACCAAGAATAATATAACGAACACCATTGAACATACAAGAATGACATTTTCTATGTAATTACCATATTGTTCCCGAGTGAAAAAAATCAAGGTTATTAACGTTTAGTTTTACCAAGTTATATTATTTAAACAATTTTGCACCCCTTGAATTCTAATAGATTTATAAAATGGGATGAGATTCAAAATCAAAGACTTATCACACTGCCCACTTGAATCTGCTATGCCAAAGAACAGGGTGCAGCATAATTAACAAAGAACAGACGTTACTCATGAAATTTAATGCACTCACAATATATCAAGTCCATTTGTCCAGTTCAATATATACTGAAATATGAATTTGTTGGAGTTGGTTTATTTAAGTGGAGAAGGTCGTCTTCTGTAGTAAATTTGGGTTTCAAGAAAGTCTTTATTTTCTGAACATTTCTATTTTCAAGAAAACATCTAACTGTCACCACTACCCCAGAAAGTTCCTTGCAGCTTATGGATCAGCTCCATTAGCTGGGTATTGAGCCACCCCATGTTTTCCGATTGATGAAACATATCCCCTCCTACATTTGTCACCTCACATCAAATCTTGTTCTAGTTCTCTCCAAAGATGTACTAAATCTTTCATCTGCAACCATTATTCTGTCCCCATATTTTGCAAAGCATAACATGTGATATCACAATTTGACATTATGATGACCAGTCTAATTGTGGTTGCACATATAGTACACCACAATAGTCCAGACAAAGGTAATCGGATAACGACCATCTCCAACAAAATTATCACCAAACAACTTAAAACTGGATCTCAACCTGATTCNAGATAACGACCATCTCCAAAAAAATTATCACCAAACAACTTAAATAATTGACTGGATCTCAACCTGATTCTGTAAGCTTGTAGCAGCAGTCCAGCGCTGAGGATGTANGGATAACGACCATCTCCAACAAAATTATCACCAAACAACTTAAAACTGGATCTCAACCTGATTCTGTAAGCTTGTAGCAGCAGTCCAGCGCTGAGGATGTAGTGTCATTGAACTATCACTGATGAAAGCTATTGTTCTCGATTCTTCTTGTGAGTTAACCACGATGGAAGCTGGTAATTCTCTCATCACCCATAATACGAATGCCGAAGGTACTGATGAACCTGTCCCAATGATTGAACACCATATTAATTAGACAGCAGTAGAGATTAATTACTGTCATTGTAAATGCAAAGCAAAAAGCAACAGGACGAGTGCTATGCATTTGGGAAATCCATTTTCTTTATTGATTATTTCATCTTATTCCTTTTACCTTTCTTTCTGGAAAATATTATCCTATTAGTTCATTTCCTTTCTGTAATAAGAATCTACTTGTTTTAAAGTTGAAAACAATCAATAAAATATCACTTTGATGACTCGTAGTATGAACAAGACCACCGCTTCTAACAGGCTAGACCAGGTGATTGTACTGCTGGAAACATCAACTCATCCTGCTTCTGTGTTTCAAAGTCTTGGGTTCCTTGATTAAACTTTGTAGCCTGTGCATCCCAATTTTTTGGGAAGCCTAAAAACAGAAAGTTTGTATCAATATTGCTGAACAGCTCTCACATATAGCGGATAATCTAGTAATATNTGATTAAACTTTGTAGCCTGTGCATCCCAATTTTTTGGGAAGCCTAAAAACAGGAAGTTTGTATCAATATTGCTGAACAGCTCTCACATATAGCGGATAATCTAGTAATATCACATATCGGTATATCCACTTTGTCGAATTTGCATATCTTTATCCTAATATGTCATTCAAAAATCAGTTCAAGGGCAGTTCCCCTCCAGTCCTGCTTGAAAGTATTGGCCCAGAACTTTTAAAGCATTTCATTGCCAGGAACAAAATGATCCTTAACAGGCAAACAACCTGAAGGAATTCTAAGGAGTTACAAGAAAAATAATCAAGCAGCAATTTACAAATTGCACGGTTGCTATGTCACAAGGGCTGCCAATAAATAATAAAAAATCTTAAAGGCAGTGGGAAATGTTAAGGCTGCTCAATTATTTGACAAAATCCACAAACAAAATGTCTATTGAACTAAGGCTCGTGCAAGGGAAATAGTATTCCAGTATTTTATATCTAAGTTTACCAAATTGGACACTGCACTGCAAAACTTGATAAGAGAAGCTATAGATTGGTAGCAACTTAGCTACACGTGTGGTAAAATATATATCTTCTATCAATTTTGAATTCTTCCAAGCTATAAGGCTTGAATGGTGGGAAAATCATACTCCCTCCCACAGATAATTGTTATTTATTTTGTTATTTTGCATTGAATATCATAATAAAAGATTATCAAGGATAAAAATACTACTAATATTTAGTCTAACATTTTCAGACAAAAATGTTTTCAGCTTGAAAGGAAGAAGTTGGAGCATGCACCTATAAAATAATATACAATCAGCAGAAGAGAGGTACGAACATCATTAATTTCCTGTTGAGGCCAGTGATAAAGCACCTGCAATAGCGGCCAACATCAGTTTTAGAAAAAAAAAATGTGATAAAAGTTTGAAAATCAAGCACAAACCAATTATCAGTGCAGGAGACTAATACATACGGGTATTTTTGTGAAAAGAGCAACAAAAGCACTTGAAGTAAAACATAGGACCGAAACAATGGCCAAACCAGCAACCTGCACAAAATGCAGCACATCAATGAAAGAAAAGAAACTGATTACACTGAAAAACATCTATATATACATACACACGCACACAGAGAGAGGTAAAAAAGAGCTGCTCCCAAACTCTACCGAAAATCAATGGCCCAACACAGCACAGTTAGAGCATGTATTTGACCTATCTTATTCATATACAACTCAACATATTTAGAACATATCTATAATATAAAACTGGACAGGCTTTAAATAAGCCCATCCGACGGTCTCAAATAGATTCATCCAACAGCCACCAACATCCCTTTTAAAACCATTCACATTGCACCGTGCCTTCAGTCACGGGTAACCCATAGTCAATATAAAACTTCCAAGGCACTGAAATGACAAAGACATCCAACCCAAGACCAATTGGATGGAGAGACCCCTCGAATATATAAATCAACCTTGGGTGATCCTAATCTTTCAATGTAGGATACACGCTCACTTAATACCCTTCCGGCCTCGCACATGGTTGACAAAACAACAAAAAATACCGAAACTTCTAATTGATATGAAAGTTGGCTCACTATCGCCCAAAGCCCAGCTGTGATACAATATTAAAGGCATCCGACCTAAAACCAATTGATAATGGTGGAGAAGCCACCCAACCATATAAACCAACCTTAGGTGACCCACGGACTCTAACCTTTCAACATGGAATGCAGGCTCTCTTCACATAATGAACCAAAGGTCATGTACATTTTACTTGAACACGAGACAAAAGTAGGTAAAATGCCATGGAATAAAGTTGTTAATTATTGAAAGAGATCTATTAATCCAAAATCCAACAATAATATTCTGAGTACCTTCCACATTTCAGAAGCAGCCCTCTCAGATCTTACTTTGCCCATTTTCAAGAATAATACAAGTCCTGAAAACGTAATTCAGTTGATAAGCAAGCAAGAAAAATGATTCCGCAGAGAAAAAGAAAGCATCAGATATTATGTAAACTAATTGCATGACGCACTAAAAGTAACAACTCAAGACATGCAAAATCATAAAAGTAATGCAGTGCCTTCAGAACTATTTTTGAGTCTATCAACAATGTGCCACGAACGGACCAACCCCACCAAAGCAAAGGGGACATTTTAACTAAAAGGTTTGTTACATGTCCTTTCAACAGAATCGACTTCAACAGATAAATGGGTTGAAAAAGAATAAACAAACTACACAGCTCCTTCATGTAGACTGGCAACATAAATGCGAGATTCTGTGGCAAGTGATGAACACAGTTTCTTAATTCAGTAAAGACATCCCAATGACATTGCATTCAATAAAAAGCAGGATGCTCACCCATTACGAATGTAAGAAATCCCCCTTCATTGATCCACAGGACAGCATACGAACCACCAGTTATTTAAAAAAGTCTCTATGCAATGACTTTTAAAAACAAGCATCTAATAGGATAGGTGCTCACCATAAGATGCTAATGCTCCTCCAAGTAAAAGGACTGCTATGGCGAAAAGATCTACATACACCTGCATGATAATGAAGGTTAATGTACTTTACTTCTCACCAATTGCAACCAAATGGAGAGAACATGACAATTGTCAGGAACATGCATGACCTACTAAGTTTTTAAGAAGGGTAGATACTAGCTGTACCAGTCTACCACAATAATGTCTGTCCAGATACAGAATCAAGTTAGAAACATTCTTAGCTAGTTACTGCTTAAAAAAGTATGCTTCTGTAGATGAAAACCAACTTGAATTACATATTAGAGATGACCCTCTGGGCACAAGTAAATGCACCACAACAACAAAGCCATTCTGGAAAGTCTGACCCTTCTGGATATCTTAAAAACCCAATCCCCCCGCCCCCCCAAAAACAGGTCCTCTCCCCAACACACACACAAAGAACAACATAGAAAAAAAAACAGAAAAAGGAAGAAAAAGAAAAGTGAAAGGAGAAAAATAGATATTACAGTAACATTCAGAACATATGTGGGGCAAACAATCTACTCCAAAGAGTGCATAAACAGAAGTTCCAATTATTTTCCCCAGCAATTGAACCACATCTATAACAGGGTAACTCTGAATGTCAGCCAAGACAATTCAGAAGCAATAGCAGTAAGCTTATTCACAAAATAAATGACTCAAGTCAAAAAAGTGAGCAACAATTCATACCCGAGCCACCACTGATGAGTCGATAGAGTTCTTTCCCATACCAATCCAAATTAGCACAGCAGATGCCATCATCAACATAAAGACTAGTACAGTAACCTGGAATTATCAAAGTAACTAATTGAAGATCATCAATTTGTGCAATGATACTACAGTAGTGTTGCCGCAGAAAACAAAATGAAAATACAAAGAAATATAGAGGAGTACACAACATAAAACCTATTTTTGATTCCCTTACCAAAATCACTACTCTTTGGCGGCTCCCAATACGGAAGCATCGGAAAGAGCAACATTTTCTGTGACTATCAGTGTTTGATTGCGGTCTATTTGTCTTATCTAACAAAGCCTCCTGAGAACTACATCCTTCATCCTCATCTTCTTCATCATTTGCCTGATGGCAAAGGTCAACCCTATAAACCATTACCGGAGGAAGCATGGATTATAGCACTCATAAGACAGTTTTTAAGTGTTAATGTCAATTTATCAACTGAAAAAGAAAGTGGTGAGATGAAACCTGCAGAAGATTGCAGCAAATTAAGGAAATGTCACACTTAAAGACCTGTATATCAGATTATGAGAAAAAGAAAAAGCGTACTGGAATGTATCCATTGACTTCAGACCTAAAAGACATTATATATTGACACCTGACAAGAACATTGGCCAAGATTGTGCTTCTACTTGACAATCCCCACAAGATTTGATATTTATGAACAATAATTAGGATTTGTGTCCCATAGCTATGACCTTATACATTGTGGAAAAATACGGAAATTAAAATGATATGAGCACATACGGTAGTGATTCAGCAAATTTTCAGGGTTACATACAACCATGTGATGGCTAAAAATATTTACTAGCACTTTATAAACAAAATGAAAAAAGAAGGGACAAAGAAGCATTTGATGCAAATATGTAACTTGCAATACCAGTCAAAAATCTCGACATGTCTGCAGACATTCTCACCTCTACTTGGAGTACTATAAAAATTAATAATTGTTTTAAAAACATCCAAACTTGAGCTACCCATTTTCTAGGAAGAGTGGGGCCAGTTGAGGGTAAAGGAGAGAGACAAACAATGATGTGAATAGGATGCCTAGGTGCAAGGCCAGGTTAAAATGCACCTGTAGGGTCCCAATAGACCAGAGACAACGCGATTTCGCTGAGTCGTGTGCCTGGGGCCAGATCCATTCAATTGAATGCTACTACCCATACATGTAGTCCTAGATTTGTGACTATGCCCATAATAAAAAAATTGTCAATGTTAAAAATATTTCCCTGTTATTTATAACACATGCCTCGGTTTGTGCCTCGTCTCATGTCGCGGAGCAGAAGACTTTAGCACTTTGGTGTTCCTTGTGCCTTAATAACACTCGAATTAATAAAAGATGATAAGGAATTGAAAAAGTTACTCAGAGACAAAGAAGTGTACACCTTTTAAATATAGGTACATAAACATAAAAATCAAGAAAGATATGTAAGGAAAATCTCACGTGGATTAACTAAACAACAAAGGTGAAACATACCAGAATGACAGAAGTAAAAGAAATGCTGCAAGAAACAGAATTTTGGGGCAAGCTGCAAAACAAATTGTGCATGTAAGTCTGTCCGCCAGATCACTGGAGAACTTCTAATGACTAGAAGGAAGAGAGAGAGAGAGTACTGCATACCCATGACAATAAAGCCACAAGAGTGTGACCAGCATATCCAACCCTTACAAGCAGCAAAAAGAGTCAACACAAAATAAAGAAAGTAGCCTGCCAGTAAAAACATAAATTAAATTCCATAGCCTAATTTTAATAAAAGAGAGTACCATTGACAAATATATATTATTGTTACAGAATAGCAAAACAAATGGTCGCTAAAGTTTAAACAGAAGAATAGTATAAAAATGATGGAAGGAGAAAAGAAAATAAACGTAGCAAAGAAACCATAAAAAGGGGCATCCATGTGGAGAAACAAATCTAACAGAGAAGTGCTACTTGCTGTAATCACATTCAATGGGACATATAACTATATTTTTCCTATAGTAAGCATATAACTATTTTTAATTTGTGGTTATTGCAAGCCTTTGACAACAGGAGTGCTAATGGAAAAAATTTAAAACCAAATAACTCCTCTGAGGTCTCCAAAATCATGAAACACTTAAAAAATTTCAAAGCCTTTTTGAGAGTGCTTGTATGCCACATCGAATGATTAGCTACACCTAAGTTTGGTTTATATACTTCGTCGGTCACTTTACCAATTGTCAATTGGTTTTGGGTTGGATGCTTCAACATGGTATCAAAGCCGATGACTAACGACCTCAAGTGAACTCCCAAAGTAGTAACAATGTGGTAAAGAATGACTTGGATGTGATGCTTGTAAAGAGTGATAGATCATGCATCCCACAGCAAAAGAGAAAGTAAGTGAAATAGCCCTAATATATTATGAATGGGCTCCCTACTTACAGGTTAAGCTTTTAGGTGGAATGGGAGTGGACTAATATTTGGTTAGTGGGCCTTGTCTCTCACCCATTTGAATTTGCCACCCATGTCTGTTTTGCTCTAGTTTGGATTTACAAGTGAGTCAAGTCTAAAAAATTTTGTATACCCAAAGTTGTTTTCTATACAAGAGAGGTCATTCCACCAATTTCCAATTGGTTTTGGATTGTATGCTTCAACAGTCTCCATGTTTATGGATCAACCATTTATCTTCTAATAGTAGCTAAATAATGCAAATGGCCACTTACAATCTCCACACTTGAGAAGCATCTGCACACCTTATAATCTAGTCCATGGACACTGAATTAATGGGACACTAAAAGTCCATCTTGTCTTCGCACTTCAAGCTCATTCAATGCCGGTAATAGAGAATTAAAATGACGTCATTCTTTACCCATCATTGTTAATAAAACATTATGACCTATTGTTCGAGAGCAAAATGGTTAAGTCTGATAGAAAAAGAACAGCTTCAAGCAATGCAAAATTATCATCAGCTGCATGCAAGAAAAGCAGGCCAACGTCAAGTGCTAGGGAAATTTGGACCTCGGGTACATAGAACTTGGCCACCTAAAGATATCTACATTGATCAAATTCTCAAAATTGTGGGATTGTCTTAACATTTCAGATCTGCGAATGAACTAAATCTGAAAAACAATAAGATCAGTTTCCAAATTGTCAAGCAAACTGCTCAAAGAGGTGCATAACAATGCTTGATAACCAACCCACTTTCACCAATTATGGAAGAGAAAACAAGTCCGAAATGAAGCAAGAAGTTGTACAATCACTAACAAGAAGCTTCAAAACAGAGAGGATGGATCTCCATAGCTGAGGTCATACTCTTTACCAGCAACAACCTTTTCTAATCCTGAATCTCCTAATACTCAATAGACCATATGTTCCGACCAAAAAAAATAGACCATGGGTCAGAATAAAATGGAATGTAATCACAGCTAACAATCACAAACTGACAAGAGAAATGTATAGTACTAGGAAGCACGGATACTTGCTAGAGGGATGTCGTGGCAGTGTCGACCACATGTCCAACATGGAGATGTGTCTGACCTGGCAAGAAGTCTCTTGAACACTGAATTCAGTCAAACACGACAAGAATTTTTTTTAATCTTGCAACTTTTAACTATTAAGAGGGGTGAAGAATTTCTTTATTTGGTTTTTGTGTTTTTAGTTATGTAACTTCTAGACTATGAAAGTAATGATGTTTGGTAAAAATGGTGGATGTTTATTTTGATCTATTTCAATTTTAATCAGAAAATTAACATTTAGTAGGTTTTATTATTAATAATGGTATAAAATATGCTTTTTTTTAATATATTACAATTCTATTATTATGTAAAAAATATATAATATTATTTTATTGAGTTGTATCCTAGCCGTACCATTGCCCTATATTTTCAAACTTTGCNTAATATATTACAATTCTATTATAATGTAAAAAATAAATAATATTATTTTATTGAGTTGTATCCTAGCCGTACCATTGTCCTATATTTTCAAACTTTGCCCCATGCTTCCTAGGTATAGTATGAGGCTATCCCCAAGTGTTTCATCAGAATGATTAATGATACGTCAAAAATAAAATTGTGGCGTCTATGAATGCTATCCTAAGTGAANAATATATTACAATTCTATTATTATGTAAAAAATATATAATATTATTTTATTGAGTTGTATCCTAGCCGTACCATTGCCCTATATTTTCAAACTTTGCCCCATGCTTCCTAGGTATAGTATGAGGCTATCCCCAAGTGTTTCATCAGAATGATTAATGATACGTCAAAAATAAAATTGTGGCGTCTATGAATGCTATCCTAAGTGAATGAGTATTTGGCTTTTAAATTGTCCAACATTTGTTATCAGCGAAACTAAGAATAATAGTGCAGCAATCTGTATAAAGTAGTACTTGACTGTTTCCTTTGTTTCTGTGCGCTTTTTTTTCTTATTTATTGGTTATCACCACTACTTAATTCTTTCATATGTTCTAAGANCAAAGTAGTACTTGACTGTTTCCTTTGTTTCTGTGCACTTTTTTTTTCTTATTTATTGGTTATCACCACTACTTAATTCTTTCATATGTTCTAAGAGAATGGATCACTAGTCATATTGACCCTAATACATCAAGAATCTTGCAATGCAACTTCCAACAGATTATGCGCCAGAAAAGCTCATATAGCCGATTGAGAACTTTAAGCAATCACTTGACACAAAGATCATACAAAAGTGACAAATACTAAACAGCTAAGCACCAGTTGTGAGATAAAATGACTTCACGTCCATGAACGGAAACCATCAAAACAAAATATTTGGTTATCTTGAATGAGATCATCAGGACTAAAGAAAAAACAAGGGCAGTAGATGTATCACCACATGAATAATCACTAGAAAAACTGCAATGTCTTACCCAAATTCGAGGACCCAATCATTAAATGAAACACCTGCAATTCAATGTGAGAAGATCAACCACTATCTGCCCATGCTAAAATAAGAATGTACCAACAGAAATATATCACAAGTTAAATACTGAAAAATAACAATGCAATCAATAGCATGTATCATGAAACAATTATTCCAATTTAGTGTAAACACAAAAATTATATATATAGGAACTGCAATTAGAGCACAAAACAAAAGGCATTAAAATACAAAGATTAGTAGAAAGAAATACACATGTGATGACTGTAAAAGAAGTTTTCCTGCAAAAAGCTCTTACTTGTAAATTTTTAAGTACCTTCAAAATAAATATAGCCATTACTTGCAGAGAAATAATAACAACTTTTCCAGAAAAATGCAAACCAAACAAAAATTATGCATGCATTAAAAACATAATGTATAATTCCCAACTATCATACAAATATACGATTCATAAATACAGGAATCATGATGCCTCATAAGGTTCAAGACTTCAACAATAACTAGAATAACTAGAACCACCACCCCTCATGGTTCAAAGTATTGACCGATACCAATACGACTCGACACCTTCCATTTGCCATGTAAACCAAGAGCCTCACTTCNCCACCACCCCTCATGGTTCAAAGTATTGATCGATACCAATACGACTCGACACCTTCCATTTGCCATGTAAACCAAGAGCCTCACTTCACTAGTGTTGACTCAATGCTGTCTCGAATGACTCAGCAATGACATCTCAAACGACTCAATCGTTTTGCAAATCCATCATGCTCAACTTCTTCTATCTAGTATTTCGTGCTTATCGTCCAATACGGTGATACCCTCTTGTGATGCCGGCGGATGTGTCTCAAGTGCACCCAGAATCAATGGCCAATGATGTGACCTTTAACCACGATACCGGTTCCAAACTCACAGACACACGTGTATGTTCTTTTCTTTTTGGTTTTGGTGTNCAATGATGTGACTTTTAACCACGCTACCGGTTCCAAACTCACAGACACACGTGTATGTTCTTTTCTTTTTGGTTTTGGTGTGTGGAGAGAGAGAAACCATGATAAGAAAGTACAAAAACCGAGATCTACCAAACTCTAGAGTCTTCTAATAAAATATTTAAATGCTGAAAATGGGAAGATATTCACATATTTATTCTTGATATTAATTCATGCCATGAAAATAACAATTGAACTAAGAGACTGATCATTCTCCTATCATCATCCAAGCTGCTAATAAAAATAATGAACAACCAGTGTTGCAAGTACAGCAGTATTACTCAACCAGCTTGCATACATTAAAAAAATAAAGGAAAAAGTGGTTTTAATTGAACTTGACTCAGTTAAAAAACAAAAATTGACTACTAATTATAAAATTTTACTTACTTTTTGTCGAGTCCAGCCAGTGTGTAAATTCCTTGAATGAATCCTCAACAACTGGTACAAAAAAGAACTAGAAGTTATGCAAGCTAACCAATAGTTATTATATTCTCTCCAAGTATCTGTTTTTCTTTTGTATGTGTGCACGTGCATGATTTGGAAAAGAAAAATCAGAATATGTGCACCATCTTAGTAGTATCCCTGGCCTATAGAGTCATCTTATATGAACCTACATATTAAAATGGATTCAAGAAAATACATTAATCAACATAGGTACACAGGCAATACAAACAATTTTAAGCCATTTGGGTAGTCAATACCCGAAAATGACGTATGCATGATTACACGTCTCTTGTGAGCTTCAGATGAATTATGTGCCCCTACGGTAACGTAA